TATATCTTGCTTAAAATATTCCATTGTTTATGTAAGCCGGAGGGACATTTCTTTATTTATTTGATGGGCATCTGGAAGATTCCATTAGTTAGGTTTGTGTTTTGAGGCAATAAAAAGAAACAACCATGAAGAGGGGACCACCACTGTCAGGGTGTCATACTTTTATGCCAGCTACTATAATTAATGAATCATCCAAGAAAGAAGTTCAAATTTAGGTTTTGTTGAATAGAGTTAAGTTAGAGAACATATAAAAAGTGGTTATAGTGATTAGTTAACTGGCAAGGTGCATAGCTAGGTTTGTGAAACAGGTATCGCCTCCCCACCCCCACCCCCCCGGCCCTCCCAACTCTACCTTGGTATTAGTTAAAGGTAAGTGCCACGCTTGAAATTTGAGCAATCCTGATTTCAGTAGGCCTCTATTCTGGCAACCCAACAAGAACACTTTCAACTGCCCATCAATTTAAGAAACACAACAAATATCCTGCATTTTGTTGGCTTAAGGTAAGCTGGAACCTCTTGTTAACAAGTTAATGTAAAGTAATTGGTCCTTCTTCATGAGTGTAAAATGTGGTTCGCGGAGTTAGGGCATGAGTGAGGCTTAGTTTTTGACTTTTTGAGTTATCTGCAGAGGCGAGGGCTGCAGTTGCAACTCTGGAGTAAGAACTCCTTATCATCTTCTTGATGGCAATTTGGCTGTATTGTGGGCTTGATGCTTGTGTGACAGGGTGAGGGCAATGGTTTGGCATTGTTGTCTACTAGCGTGTGGAGGATAGAATGGAGGCGGAGCTTCATGCTAATAAGTTTCAACTGTTTTCAGTTTTGTTGGATGTGTGTTGCTTGGATGGTAGGTTCCATGGGTTCATTGCATTGTTAATTGTCCCTAAAAAACATGGGGATGAGGGACTTACTGCAGCAAAAGGTTTGATGCTGGACCAAAGAGACTCGGGACATGGAGTTAAACTTCAAATTGTCATGTAGTGGTCGAGTAATTGACAACTTCAACATATCACCACATTCTATCATATTAAACTGCACAAGTGAAGCAATTCTTTAGTGAAAGGGCTGGCGACTTTATGGTTTTTAAAGAAGTGGCAAAGTGTTGATGCCTTTGTGCATCTAATGAAGATGCATATTCCATCTTTGTTCATGTAGCTTGAGAATCGGACAGTTGCTGTACGCTCCTAGTAACATTGAGCAAATTTAGATTATGGAGTTTTGATAAGCCACAAAGATGGGTTTTTTTTTTTTCGTCAAAGGTTTGAGGAATTCCATTGCTAGTATCATTGGCTATGATTATTCTCAAATGGCACAATCTTACCCCGCACCCAAATTTTGTTTCAAAAATTTAGGTGGTCACCCCTTCTATGTTTAAATCCTGGATCCATCTTGTACTTGCCAAATTGTTTTTCCCTATGAGAAATTTCCAATCTGAATTTAACTTCTTATAGGTGTATAGTCTCTTTAGAAGAGTAACAAGGTACTTGTACAAACGTTGATCATCTTTCTCAATATTCATCCTTTTTGCAGGTGAAGAGCTTTCAAAAAAGCAAGCTGCTCAAGAATCTCAGATTAGGAAATTAAGGGCACAGGTATGCAACCCAGTGCACAGTGTCTCATGATTGAAAGTGAATACTATTCCTTTAACACCTTTTTTAATAATAATCTCTTACCTTTTTGGGAAAGCTAGATTAGAGAGTTTGAAGAGGAAAAGAAAGGATTAACTACCAAGCTACAGGTAATTGAATTCTTGGTATCCATTAATTACAGCACTTCCATGGAAGTTTCCTTTTCTCTCAGTTTCAGATCATACGGATTTTGTATTACATATATTAGTGTATTATTCTTTGGCATCCCATAGCCAAAAAGGCATGGAAGATAATAAGTTTGCCCTCTTTCCAATTGCGGGAAATTGTCGAGATATTTTTCCTTAAGTTCCATTCCCCTGGTTTTGTTGTGTTTCCTGGGCTGGTAAATTGTGTTTTTTAGCTCCTCCAATTTGTTTATCTCATCTGCCATTTCCTTTAACTTTCCACAAATTTTATTTGATGTTTTATCAATGAGATTTGATGGGAGTTGCAATTAAGGTCCGCAAAATATACATAACCTAGTTGATAATAAAAGAATTTTCATGATGGCTGCTAGAAGCTGCATAGCCTATCTAACTGATGTTGTTCCCGATAAGAATCATAACAAGATGTGCGGTCTTTGAGTAAGTGACATTGAGTTTCCCACCTTGAGGACATGGTTATGGTCCCATCAGCCTGGAAGGGTCTCTTATCTCCATAGTTGACGTATTAGTACTGCAAATAATGCTTAAAAGAATCTCTGTATTACCCTTGTATTAAACCTCTGTGGCAGTATGATAATTTCTCTCTCCCCCCTGGGAACCCAAAATTGGGAAGTTGCTCAAATTGAGTCAGATTAGTAATAGGTTTGACTACAGAAATAGAGGGAAGAGTTTGCTGGTAAATCTTGTTAGATATAGAGCGTATCCTTTGGTAGATGACGCAATAACATAGTCCCAAAACAAATTGGGAACTAGATATGGCATGGCAGATCAGATGTCAAACATATGGTGCAAATACTTCTATATTTTGGTTGGTAAGATTTGGATTCTAAGGAACATACTTTTAGGATATCAGGCCTGATGCAATTATGTAATGTATTTGCAAGGAAAGATATTAAAGGATCTCCGAACTATCAATATTGGAAGCAGATATCTGCACTCCGTTAGTCTGTTGGTGCTTGTGGATGTGTAAATCTTGAGGGTCTCATAGAAGCAATCCACGAGAAGTCACCATCTTCGCTACTCTGGTAGTCCAATTTTAGTTGCTTAGAACTGGGCCTTGGTTGTTTTTCTGTTCTGGGACCTATAACAGGTTTTTTGTGTTACATAATTTTTATACGACTTTTTTTTTGCGATTGCAAAATAACACCAGTTAGACTCGAAGAATATGGACAGCAACTTTTTTTAGCTGTTATGGAGATTTGTTTCATGAGGACTGTTAGATCTGCAGCAGAGTCTGCTGGAAACCTCAAAATTTTAGCTGCTGATAAAATTGTCGTCGTTGATTCTTGATCAATTTGTCTGTAGCACTGATAAAATGTTATAACTTCTATCCTCACATGTGGGAAGGTATGGAACAACCTGATCTTGCATGGGAGGCACCTTTCCCTTGAACTACTGATCAACTCTTTATATTGTTCTTCCTTATCGTATTTAGGTCCTTATAATTTGAAGATGTTACAGCCAGGATTCTTTGATGGTCTTTTATCAATTACCATATGTTTCACCTTTATTGGCTATCATATTTGGTTCTCATAATGCTTTGTGCAGGATTTGTCTTTCCTATCCTTCTATTTCTTCCTTATAGTAAGTAATACTATGCATATGTTTTGTACCATTTGCAGGTTGAAGAGAATAAAGTAGACAGTATAAAGAGGGATAAGGCCTCAACTGAGAAGTTGCTGCAAGAAACAATAGAGAAACACCAAGCTGAACTTGCAAGTCAAAAAGAATATTACACGAATGCTTTGAATGCAGCAAAGGAAGCCGAAGCATTAGCGGAGGCTCGGGCCAATAATGAAGCCAGAACTGAATTAGAGTGTCGTCTAAGAGAGGCTGAGGAACGTGAAACTATGCTAGTTCAGACGCTTGAAGAATTACGGCAAACTCTGAGCAGAAAGGAGCAGCAGGTTCCTGTTTGTAACATTGAGATTGCAGCTTCTGCCTTTATATCTGCCGTACTCTATATAATCTTCTTCATGTTTCAGGCAGTTTTGAGGGAAGATATGCTGTGCAGAGACATTGAGGATCTTCAAAAACGATATCAAGTATGCCTTGGATTCCTCTGATCGGGCGTCAACTATGTTTTTAATTTATATTTGACTGTGTTAATATTGATGTCTCATTGTAATCTGATGTTGCAATAATTGGTGTCCAGGCAAGTGAGCGCCGATGTGAGGAATTGATAACACAGGTTCCTGAATCTACTAGGCCTCTTTTGAGGCAGATTGAAGCTATGCAGGTCCATTTCTATTCGACACTTTAACATGTTTTTGGTTGAGAATTACTATTATTTTTAAACAAACTTGTCTGGTAGTCCTGGCTTGACCCCATTCTCTACGAATAACAGGAAACAACTGCCAGAAGAGCCGAAGCTTGGGCTGCTGTGGAGAGGTCACTAAACACACGGCTTCAGGTTTTTTTCACACCTTATACTCTGTAGTCGTGGCTCTTGTATTTTAGACTATGATTTATAGGTTTAATTATATAAGCAGGAAGCAGAGTCCAAAGCTGCAGCTGCAGAGGAAAAAGAGCGATCCATAAATGAACGCTTGTCTCAAACGTTATCTCGAACAAATGTTCTTGAAGCTCAGGTTCTTTTTTCTCTGGCCACCATGGTACTATTGACAGAGCTTTAATATAATCATTAACTTATGCTAGTGAGATGTTGCAGATTTCATGTCTTAGAGCTGAGCAGACTCAGCTGACTAGGTCCCTTGAAAAGGAGAGACAGAAAGCTGCAGAAAATAGGCAGGAGTACCTTGCATTAAAGGAAGAATCTGACACTTATGAAGCTCGTGTAAACCAGCTTGAAGAAGAGCTAAGGGAACTCAGGAGGAAACACAAGCAAGTGTTACAAGAAGCATTGACGCACCAAGAACTTCTGCGACAGGTAGAACCTGCAATTCCCATGTTTGTTGAAAGAGTGTCAGTGCTACCAAATACCAATTCTGCCCTAAACCTCTGACTCTAAATTGTATGTCGTAAAGCCATGAAACCATTGATGATTTGCATTGTGCACCAAAGACAGTGATTTCAATCTTTTACTTACCTACAAAATTTTGCACACTTCCGAAGTGTTGTTTAGAGATTAAATTGCAAGTTATTGTAAAAGTTTGTTGTTTTTTTCCGTGATCATGCGATCACTCAAAACAAAAGGCCATAATATGATATGGCAACTGCGTTGATTTTTAACTTTTATATATGGTTCATCCCCATGTAATCAACGGTGGATGACCTTCAAAATTTATGTACTAATTCATCTCTTTTTCAAGTGTTTTCTAAATATTTAACACAGTTCCATGTATATTACCTATTGAATACATTTATTCAATCATCATTTTTGTTCACCCACTATTGGTGCTTCTACACTGCCATCGTGAGTAAAGAAATACCGTTTGAATGTATATGTTGTGTATACCATTTTGTCTGCCCTGCTACAGTGATCATTTTTTTATTCTTTTGATCCGGAAAAAAGGGGGAGGGATGACCTGTACGTAGTCACCCCTTGTGTGTTACCATAAGACCCCACTATGGAATGTCCGGTTACAGTGATCATTGAAAATTGCATTTACAACATATTCAACTAACCCTACAGGTAGCTAACAATGAAGCACTTCAACTGGTCTAACAAGAATTTGTGAAAATTCTGCTCCTGCTTTACTTGATTCCTTCTTCTTGACCCTGATCTTTCTGGTTTGATAGTAAGGTAGAGGAATCCATTGCAGGAAGGTATTAGAAAAGCTTTTCCTATGTGTCAGCAAGGATCAAAATGTCGTGTCGACACATCCGAAACGTCCGAAACGTTTCGGAATTTCAACACTCCGAAACGAAACAGTAGTTGAATCACAAAATTCCAGTGTTTCGGTTGAAACGGTACTGTTTCGGACCGTTTTGGTCGAAACGGCATTGTTTCGGACCGTTTCAACAAAACAGTGATATATTCGGTTTATTATGAATAATTACATTTAATACCCCATTATCATTACATTTAATACCCACTGTAATTACATTTAATACTCACTATAATTATATTTAATATCCCACTATAATTACATTTAATTCTCACTGTTCTTCTGTCTTTTATAATTTTTTTGTTATAAGAATAAATAATTAAACTTAATATCCTACTATAATTATATTTAATACCTACTGTAATATATTTAATACCTTACTGCTGTGCAAGTTTTTTGGTTTTTTTTTTTTTTTANTTCTTTTGATCCGGAAAAAAGGGGGAGGGATGACCTGTACGTAGTCACCCCTTGTGTGTTACCATGAGACCCCACTATGGAATGTCCGGTTACAGTGATCATTGAAAATTGCATTTACAACATNCCTTTTGATCCGGAAAAAAGGGGGAGGGATGACCTGTACGTAGTCACCCCTTGTGTGTTACCATAAGACCCCACTATGGAATGTCCGGTTACAGTGATCATTGAAAATTGCATTTACAACATATTCAACTAACCCTACAGGTAGCTAACAATGAAGCACTTCNTTACTGTAATTATATTTAATACCCACTGCAATTACATTTAATTTTTAAGTATACATGAGTATNATATTCAACTAACCCTACAGGTAGCTAACAATGAAGCACTTCAACTGGTCTAACAAGAATTTGTGAAAATTCTGCTCCTGCTTTACTTGATTCCTTCTTCTTGACCCTGATCTTTCTGGTTTGATAGTAAGGTAGAGGAATCCATTGCAGGAAGGTATTAGAAAAGCTTTTCCTATGTGTCAGTTTCATTTGTCTGGGTGCTTAGAAGTAACAAAGGCCTTTGTTTGACATTTTGGCTATCATTCATATCTGTGTGAATTCTCATGCCATATACAAGTTCCCAAATTTAAGCCCCTGATGGTCGTCAGGAGGTAGAACGAGAGAAAGCTGCTCGTTTGGAACTGGAAAGGACTGCTCGCCTTCAATCTTCTGCTGTAGCTGATCAAAGTCCAATATCAAAGAAGTCTGCTGTTGAGAATGGTATTGATTACCCAGTTTACTACTATGAGGGGCATGCTTTTCCTTTTTTGTTCCTCTATGTAATCATCTTTTTTTGCAGGATACTTGACTCGCAGACTTTCAAGTGCTGGCAGCTTGAGCAGTATGGAGGAAAGTGATTTTCTGCAGGCATCTTTAGACTCATCTGATAGTTTCTCTCGACGGAGAAATCCAGGAGAGACAACAATACCACCATATTATATGAAGAGCATGACCCCAAGTGCTTTTGAAGCTACCCTTCGTCAAAGGGAGGGGGAACTGGCATCTTACATGTCTCGATTGGTATGAAAACTACCATTTAACCATTATTTGGTGCGATGCACTATTATGTTGTGTTGCGCCTCACATTGGACTGCAGAATTAAGTGTCTGCAATGTTGGTTGTAATCACATTAAGTTCTACAACTTATCTTCTTTCGAGTTCCATCAAGTATAATGGTTTTCATGCACTCCAGGCATCTATGGAATCTATTCGTGACTCTCTTGCTGAGGAGTTGGTTAAAATGACTGCGCAGGTGAGTATTGTTTGATATAATACCCTGATATGTCTCCCAAATCATTCATCTGAAGATTTCCAACATTGGGTGCAGTGTGAGAAGTTACAAGCAGAGGCCGCCATGCTGCCTGGTATACGGGCAGAACTAGATGCACTCAGGCGAAGGCACTCAGCAGCACTAGAGTTAATGGGGGAACGTGACGAAGAGGTACGAATCTTTTAGGCTTTGGCCTTTGGAAATGATGCCTATGAACCCTGTATATATGCCTGTCAACGGATCGGTTTCGGACTGGATTTGGGTCTATCCGAATCCGATCTGTTTACCCGACAGATATAAAAATATTAATCCATATTAGAATCTTTTTTATAATCGGACATTAATCCGATTACCCGACCTGACCCGATCCGATCCGTAATGATATTCCACCAAAAATTCAACAACTAATCTTTTTTTTTGATCAACTATAAATAATCAACACACACACACACACACATATGTATATATTATATACATATAACCAGTGACAGAATTATTAAGGGCCCCCCCCCCCCTCATTTTTTGGACAAAATTCCTTTTTTAGATATTTTATTTGTGAAATTATTCAATTATATGTAATTTAATGATCCTCTAAAAATATCACAATACTTGTTTTCTAGAGACAAAGAAGTAGTAGGAAGTCCCAAAATGCTAGATAGTCATTAATTCAAGTATAGGGGGTAATAAAGGGTGTTATGTGCATGACATCGTATTTTGTCGGCAGCTACTCTCAAGTAATTGCATTTTTTTTTTTCAAAATCATTAAAAAAATTTTTTAACTGAGCTGAAACAATGGCTTGGGTTGTTTGTGTAGTAGAGCATATATTGAGNGTGCATGACATCGTATTTTGTCGGCGGCTACTCTCAAGTAATTGCATTTTTTTTTTTCAAAATCATTAAAAAAAAATTTTAACTGAGCTGAAACAATGGCTTGGGTTGTTTGTGTAGTAGAGCATATATTGAGTTTTATTTTTTTGATTATGTGATGAATTTGCATTGAAATTATTGACAATTTAATGAAACTAAATTGGCATTTAGTGGTACACAAGTGATTCATCCATAAAATTAAGGTGAAATTGTTTATTATCATTATTTGATCACTATTTATAATTAATTGGACAAAATTGAGTCAGTTTTCTAGATTTAATTGGAAATAGATAATATTGTAATGTATCATGTTAAAGTTAATTTTGATAGGTTTTACATAACCAAAAATTTAACATTAATGACAACTTAAAAAATAATCTTATTGAATATCACTGCATATAATTATTATATATATGTATTATTTATATATTAATCAGATCGGATTCGGATAAACGGATGAAAATATTGGTCTGTATCCGATTAAACAGATTTGGATAGGATTCGGACTGAAATTCGGTCCATTAATAGGNATATTATATATATGTATTATTTATATATTAATCAGATCGGATTCGGATAAACGGATGAAAATATTGGTCCGTATCCGATTAAACAGATTTGGATAGGATTCGGACTGAAATTCGGTCCATTAATAGGCCTACCTGTATATGTGTTTTTTTTTTAAACTTTTCATTGATTTTGCATCCTCCTGGATGCACGTGTATCTTACAAAAACAATGGTATTGAATTATTTTTGTGAAGTAGATATTTATTGTTTTACTAATGAAATGCTGATAAGTTTAAGTGGCTACTTTAGCTGGAAGAACTTCGTGCTGATATTATGGACTTGAAGGAGATGTATAGAGAACAAGTAAACTTGCTTGTAAATAAGGTATTATGTCCTACAATTTCATACACATTGTTTCTTGACAGCTAATGATTTAGCAAGCATTTTTTTTTTTGGTATTTGTATACTCATGTTGGTCCATATACGTCTGCAGATCCAGGTCCTGAGTTCATCTATGGGTGCAGCATCATAAAATGACTTGTTATTATGGCCTCTTCAAGCCTTGTACTAATACCAACAGTACAGTTCACAATTATATCTTTTATATCAAATTCGTTTTGGTCCTCTCAAAAATTTTGTTCGCCTTCTCCATGAAGTGGTCAGAGTAGCGATATACAAAGAACACACTGCGTTTGATTTTCTATGCATTTTAGTTACAGAGCGTAATGTTGTATAGCATGATTTTGTGTCAGGTAATTTTCCTGGTATGTTTTGAGAAAATTTATATTTTTTATGATTGATCTGATTATCAATTGGATGAGCTCAATATTCCTCCTCTTGCTTATTGATTGGATTTGCAATTTTGCATTACCATTTTGGCAATAGACAACGTGGTGAGTGAATTCCACTCGTGGTACCATAAGATAGCTCTTACCGACTTATCGATTATTTTTGGCAAGACTGCAACTACATTGATCTTTCCTCTTCTTCGTGATGAATCCCATTGACCGCACAGGAAAATCAAACCTTGCTAGAAGTCCTCACTCTTTTTGGTGGATTAACCAATGGCGTGTCTTTGACTCACGCTTGCTCAGTAGATGGGTATAGTTTTGAACTTGGCCTTGAGAGGCTAGCTAGATTCAGAACCAGCGTGGTTCAAAAGTTCCGTCCCCAGTTATGTAGACTGGGTCATGACAAAGACCTTTTTACTACTTGCCTATTCAACCATTTCGACTTCTCTGTACACTGCCTGCTTGTTTCCTCTCTGCGGGCGTGTGTGAAATGATAAGAAGCCGCATTCTTTGCCTTTTGTCTGCGTACCTAACTTTTAAAAGTTGGTAAACCGCTTACATTTGAGTCCTAGAATAGCAAGATGTATCATCTGCTTACTACTGTCGGGAAAGTCAACACAACATTCTGATTAGGAAGATATTCTGTCCTAGTTTTGAGTCCTTATCAACTCTAGAGTTCAAAATAAGTGATGACAAGCGTTCATTCGTTTAGGTTAAAAAAATAAGCAAGACGTCGTGCATTTGTGTATAAAATCAATCTGTATCCAACCCGGGTGTAGAGTCCTGAGTACAGAGTACCTTAACCTTGGCTGCTCATTGCACAATGATCTTATTCGTCTGGTCAACTGAAGAGCAGAGTCGCAGCATCATCTACATGATGACAATGCACTGTAACACATGTCAAAGTCATACATCTTGAAATTAGCTGTCCATGGCCAGCAAATTTAGAAAGCCAAGTATGAATTGAAAACTTGGATGGGATTGGATTAGATTAGCCTTGGAAGTTTATACCAAATACATTGGTCTAAGACTTCGAGAATTATGGGTCCCCTCCATTTTGTCCTTACAATTAGAATTCATATGAAGGTTCCTACCTCCTGCTATTGATTTTGAAAACTATGAAAAGTCTCCTTCAAATTTTCAGGCTCAATCCCTCAAACAAACTCTGAAGATGATATATAAAGGAAAAGACTTCCATTATCTATATCTCTGAGTCGGATTACAAGACAATAATATACTTGCAAAGCCTAGCAGCTGCACATATCTCTTCTTCATATAAAGTAAGACCCACCCCAAATCACAGTTTTTGATCAAATGGGTAGGATCCCAAGCACCGAGGAAGCAGAAGTTCCACAATCTGGTGAACCAGTAGCTTCTTTCCCTCCAACAACTGGTTCATTTCCGGCACACTACCAAGCAGAAGAGAGTTCATCAGTTGGAATACCCTGGAGCACTGGATTGTTTGACTGCGATCAGCACCAAACAAATGGTAATTTTTTATTTTCTTTAATAATTATGTACATATTTTGCTCATATCTTATTGCTTTGTGTTTCTGATGAACACAAACCCGCCTTTTGGGCCTCTTTAAGGCTTCCCTCGCGATTCTTCATTGTAGTATAGTGCTAGTTTATTGTATAGCGAAAACTGAGTTGATCTTACCTTCGATTAATTGTCATGGCAGCGGTTATGACAGCATTTTTACCTTGTGTGACGTTTGGTCAGATAGCAGAGGTACTGGACGAGGGAGAACTGAGTATGGCTTTTCTGTAGTACTTTGCCTGTCTTATGCTTGATGAATATTGAAAGTTTTCGATTGACAACAGCTAATTGATGATTAATGGGTGATTGCAGCCTGTCCTCTGGGGAGTTTCATTTATGTATTGATGATGCCTGCACTGTGCTCTCAGTGGATCATGGGCTCAAAGTATAGAACAAAGCTGAGGAAGAAATATAAATTGGTGGAAGCACCATACGAGGATGTGATCTCTCATTTCTTTTGCCCATGTTGTTCCCTTTGTCAAGAGTTCAGAGAGCTCAAGAACAGAGGACTTGATCCAGCTTTAGGTATAAATTACCCATGTCTTCCAAACTTTTTCTCCATGAATCATTAAGGATATATGGTTAAATGGCACATAATCTAGCATATTAGGTGAAAAAGAAGCAAGTGATGGTTGAATGTTTGAATTAACAATCACTAGAAACAGATAAGTGTATGTAATTTAGAGCAATGCTACTTAGACCTAATTTCATTATAATCGTGGAAATTTTAATGTTAGATGAGACTCACTTTCCATCCAATAGCTACAATGAATTAGGTACTCGAATTAGGTAGAAATAGCATTTTTCTATTATTGAGGAGAACTTTAAACATATTAGAGACCAATAATAAAAGAGAATTGCTTTTTTGAACTTCCTCTCTGATACTGGTTTATCTCCACACTAGGGGTAACCCATGCCTTCAGGCAAGGTGTAATGTGAATGATTTTGAAAGAGATGTTAGAAGTCGTTGAATGAATCTATTCAAATAGACTTATTGAAGCATATCTTGTTTTATATTATAGATTTGACTTATAACCATTCCAAAAATAATGATTCTTAAATATAAAAAAAAATTGTAAAAGCTANAAGAGATGTTAGAAGTCGTTGAATGAATCTATTCAAATAGACTTATTGAAGCATATCTTGTTTTATATTATAGATTTGGCTTATAACCATTCCAAAAATAATGATTCTTAAATATAAAAAAAAATTGTAAAAGCTATGGTACCTTTCATGAACTCATTCGGAGGTTATTTATTTTTTATTTAGTAGAAAGAAAAAGAAAACTAGTAGTAAAACCAATATGAAAGTGCTTTGAAGCCATATGAAATGAAGTTCTTTAAACCGAGGGGGGTTTGCGTCTATACATGTAGTGTGGTGATTAGGCTTACACAATATTTGTTCCATGATCTATGGGTCTACTGGAGCTATCCACTTCGATCAATTAGCCAAGATTTTGACCGGATACAAAATCACTGGTGCTCGATTTAGTGATATTTTTATGGGGATTCTATTTGTTGATGTAGGATTTTTATNCTATTTGTTCCATGATCTATGGGTCTATTGGAGCTATCCACTTCGATCAATTAGCCAAGATTTTGACCGGATACAAAATTACTAGTGCTCGATTTAGTGATATTTTTATGGGGATTCTATTTGTTGATGTAGGATTTTTATTCAAGATCAGTATAGTTCCTTTTTAGGTGGTTGTAAGACAGACGGCGGCCTAAGGGGTAGCTTAAGTGGTAGTCAAGGTGTGCGTAAATTTTTGAATACTCTAGTTTCGGCGTGAATGACTTACCTCTAACCAAATTCGAGAGAAAATTAAACAAATCTCGAACACTTTAACCGTTGAAAAAAAAAAACGAAGTGCTTTGAAATTTTTTGGAATGGATTTGTTTTTTTACATCTTTGCAAATTTGCTGCAGGATGGAATGGGATCCAAGCTGAACAGCAAGGAAAGGTGTATCGGGATCGACAATTTCAGAATCCTCCTCCAACTCAAGCAATGTACAAGTAAAGATTGTAATTTCTTATTTAAAAAGGTCAATTTGTCTTTCCTTCAGAAGGATTTTTCCACTTCCATTCCATGTTTGATTTCTAATGTGTGAAGTTGTCTTTATTTAGTTCTTTTTTTTTTTTTGGTCATTTGTTTACTTAATTCAAGAAGTATGAGCCAGTGAGCTCCTTGAACCATCTCTGTACTTCTTTTTTGTTTTCTTTCTATCTGCAAACCGGTGTCTCTGTTGAAATCTCTCTCTCTCTCTCTCTCCCCCCTATCAATCCTCTCAAGTGAGACAAATTCGTATCGAATCTTAGTGTCTTCACGATAAAAAACACTCTACCCATACTCGATTCATTTATTAATTCATATCTAACAAATTGTGNTCTCTCTCTCAAGTGAGACAAATTCGTATCGCATCTTAGTGTCTTCATGATAAAAAACACTCTACCCATACTCGATTCATTTATTAATTCATATCTAACAAATTGNCCCCCTATCAATCCTCTCAAGTGAGACAAATTCGTATCGAATCTTAGTGTCTTCACGATAAAAAACACTCTACCCATACTCGATTCATTTATTAATTCATATCTAACAAATTGTGTCATATCAAATTTGTATTATGTATTAACATTGTATAACTAAAATATATACGAATCATATCATATATTTTTTTTTAATTGACTTCATCCATTCTTGATTTGTTTGTTAATCGTACAATGCCAGATCCACTCGTTAATCAAACAAGTGACTTAAAAAAGACTCAAATTCTCTAATTTCGTATTGTGTTCGTGTTAACGGGTCATGTCAACACCCTTATATACACACACACACTGTGACAGGCATGGCTCATATGGTTAAAAATTTCTCATGAATGGCAGAATGATCATCTGTGNTGTTTGTTAATCGTACAATGCCAGATCCACTCGTTAATCAAACAAGTGACTTAAAAAAGACCCAAATTCTCTAATTTCGTATTGTGTTGGTGTTAACGGATCATGTCAACACCCTTATATACACACACACACTGTGACAGGCATGGCTCATATGGTTAAAAATTTCTCATGAATGGCAGAATGATCATCTGTGTCTACCAAGTTGGATGCAATGGTGTTTTCTGGTGTATTCTAAAGAAGCTGGTTCAAAATGGAGTTCATAGCAAGTAAAAAACCAATGTTCCAACCACTTGTTCTAAACATGACAGGTTGTAGCAACAAATATTAAAACACATGTATACTTAAATCATATGGACAACATTGTTTCTATCTGCTCTCTCCCCTTTTATTGATGCATCACTGATCAAACTCAACCAGTTTTCAACAAATTCCAAGTTCGATAACAACAGCTACCAATGGGACTGATTAAACATAATTGCCTAATGTACAAGTACTAAATTATACAATATAATATAACGATTGGGTGATGCTTTAGGGACGAAAAATTGTCATCAAGCAAATATAAATAAAATACCCACCCTAAACAAGACAAAGTTACAAAGAATGAATGGCTCAATAAAGAGGGACAAAGCCTTTGATTCCTTAATTAACTAGTAATGCCACATTCAGGCATTTCTTATACATCAATGTAAATGTAATCACCTCTTTTCTCATTTTGATCTCCTTGAAAATAATCATTGCTTGTGTACCATTGTTAAAATTAACCACCATGCCGTTGCATGGCAATAACTGGCTCACTGCATCTGGAGCACCTAAAAGACGGAGATGCAGAACACCGAGTTTGAAGACAGTAGTAACAGTACCTGCAAACAAAAAGATTACGATGAACTTAACCATGTGCTATTCCACAAACCAAGATGACTTAGAATGTGTACAATAAAACAGATGGTATCCGAATCATCCATCCATATCTAAGTGTCCTGGTTGCCCTACATTTGTACTGGTGAAAATTCAAGATAGCATTATACATAAAAATTCAGGAGTCTTTACTTTGAAAGTCATAAATGAGAAGTAATATTCAAATCTGACAGAGCCACTCTGCACAAACACATGCTAAAGTTTAGGCCTCTAATTAATTCACCTTTCCAGTAATCTTAACGCGTCTGAAACATCGACTACTTCTAGTCTCGGGCAGATCTGCAGGTAAAGGTTAAAGATTCCCTCCCCCCCCCCATCTCCCCCCAAAAAAAAAAAAAATTCAAAAGTCTGTACATTGTCCCCCCTTAAATTCTTGAAAATTGGTACAATGGCCCTAGTCGTTCTTATTTCTGGTAAATTAGTGGTCCACTCGGTCCCTTAATTTACGAAAGCATATATTTTACCTTGGTAAAACAAGTGTTAAATGTCCTAACTCATACCTATTGACTAACGACAATACCTCTATTATTTAATTTACTACTTTATCTGTTAAAAAATAATTATATAGTTTCACCTGATTCTTTTTGATAAATTAGTAGCTCATAACATAGGTACGAATAGATGCAAACAGTAAAAAATGCTAACCCAAATGCATCTGAAAAATCATTTTCTCAAATAGATTAAAAGAAAATTGCTGAGATACTACATCATTAAATTGACCAATTATAAAAGATTCCTAAGATTTGTAACAGTTTAATATATGGAGTAAAAGAGTACTATGAAAAAAATAATTGTATTTATTTGTTCATATTTTGTTGACATTGAATTGATATTGATATTGATTTTCATATAGTAGTTAAGTATTGGATCTTAATATATTTCTTGCATTTTAGTTTAGGAATTTTTCATATGAAAATAATACTCAATTCAATCCTCATTAATGGAGGTCCAAGAGGATTTTTTCTACCAACTGCTTATGATTTACACTCATATTTTTGCCCCCACTAAGATGGAGTTCTGGCTCCTCCCCTGCCTAGTGTGATATTAGCTATGCATTTATGCAGACTAAAAAGTTATTCAATTTGAATTGGACTTCTATCGTTTTTCAGCAAGGAATCATACCACAGTACAATCTCTCAGTTTTCCAGTCATGTGTCAGTAAATGGTTTTATTACTCGGGAACTAGATTGTAGAAGCACCCACCTTATTTATAACATTTGTGCCTTCAATTAAAAGCAAGAAGCCAAAAAATAGTAACAATTGTCAAGACGCAGTCATGTACCTATGCTGACAAGGTAGTGCTAAAAATGGAATGGTTGGATTGGCCTGGCAGATGGGGCATAAAGCTTCATCCCCTGCAGAACTTGAAGATTTATCCTTTGAGAATGGACGAAGAAAATTTTTAATTGACGATGAATTGAGAAGAGGAAGAAGCAGCAACAACATTTCCTGAAACATCAATGCAAGTTTAGAAATATGTCCATCAAGGAAGAGAAACATAAATTTTCCATTATGCACTACATATAGATTATTAGCATTAATGATATATACCACAAAGAGGAATTACTTTATCTAATCCAACATTTGGTACAGCAAGATTAATTCGAAAAATTCATGATATCAGGAAACTAGTAACAAGTAAGACTGGTGAATTACCGAGAATTCATTCCACACTAACTGACGATTCATGTATTCAAAGCTAACAGCTCGGTTCATATTAGGACTTGCATAGACTAGTCTTGCTTGTAGAGCTCTCTCAATAAGACTCCTATACCTGCATCAGTTTGACATGCATAAATATAAACAAACAAGATCTCAAGATAACTAAACGCATAATAACACTCTAAGGCACTAATAATTACTGAAGTCAAAGAATTGTTTCAAATTCACCTTAAAAGGTATATCCATAAATGTTTATAACAATACAACTGACCTTGACCTATAACTGACACAATTAAAAAGATAACAAACTATTTATAAAACCACTTGTAGCTTGGATTTTTTTTTTTTTGGTTTCATATATATAAGAAATTAGCAATTGGAAAATATATCAAGAATACTATACACTAAGCAGCAAAATTCATTAGCATTTATAACATATTTGGGTAATAAATTGATAAGTATGATCCATTAACTTCCAATGCCAAAGTTTAAAGTGGGGACTCACCCTCAACCACACAGTTATCATCACACTGAAGCAACCTGATATGCATAAACTTTTAAAGAATCCGTACATATCAATAGTTGGAGATGTATGACAGTTCTCTTTCGCTCATCATTCTTGTTGAACGGGCTAAAGTCTCTCACCCACAAACCTCTCGAGGCGATATAGAATTGGAGTATGAAAATGCTAAGCCCATTCCAAGTCTCATCATCGATTATTAAAAGTAGTATGTAATATTATAATGCATCAACAACGGATCTATGTAACTAAAAAAGCTTAGTGCTCGAAAGCATACCTTCCTGTGTAGAGAAATATAAGCAGGTTGCTAAGAGATGCAGCTTTATAAAACCCTTCTATACGTTGTATGAAAAACCATGCTCTGCGTGCCAGGGACCTCTGAGGAATATAACCCAAACAAACAAAAAATTAAGAAAACATAACTTCTCCCTTACTTCATAAACACCATATATGTACATTTGCAGCATACACATATACATATACATATACATCTGTATATATACGTATAGTACCTGCTCAGAATCACCCCATCTTCGAAACGCAGAAAATGACTGTAGACGGGACCAGATGTACTGACCACCAACAGTTGCAACACAGTACCATATCTTTTGAGCAACAGTGAGTCCAGGTCCCTCCAAACCTGTTCTGACTGGGGACAACACAAGACCAGAAGTCATACAATTCTGACTGCGGATGAAACACAAGACCGAAAGACATACAATTAGGTATTATATGTAGATATATTGGACCAATATCCAGACTAATAGAAGATTGAAAGAACAAATTCAACCGTAGCAGGTTGTCAAGTGAAGCTGTTCCATTTTATTCTAACAAGCTTTGAACAATTTGGTGACAAAATCAGCCCCCTTGGGCTGCTGCTACTTTTTTTGCACAACAAAATCAGTCAAATTTTGTTTTTAGTATCATGAAATAAAATTTTCAAATACAAACTGAACGGTTTGAAAAGCATATATATAATTTTTGCATTCTTTAACAGTTTTTAAGACTTGTAGCCCATAGGACTGTGGAAGGACCATAAGCTCAAACCAACTTCACGAGCAACACCAAGAGGTTAGATTGAGAGAGCTTAATTAGTTGCATCCATAACTTCATTCACTCAAACAGAGAAATTGCTTGTCAAAACCAGAGGTTACAAATACATTTATCAATAAGACAGAGGAAGAGCGAATTAAAATGTAAGAGACTACTAATACAATTTGAGAGGATGCAATGTTTAGCTAAACGTCATATACAATTCATCATTGCAATCTCATGATAAAATCTTGGTCAGTCCTTGGGGACAATGAAACCTTTAAACTCAGGCTCAAAAGTACATCAAACCATCATACGTGCATTTGCATTTCCTCATATGAATGGGAAAAACTCACTTCTCCAAGTCTGACACATGGAAAATTTCAAAATAACTTAAAAGACTAACTTCAGATCAAAATAATAAACAAAAAAAGGGCTAATATAATTACTAATGGAAAATATGATCATATGAGTGAGGCAAAATGACCTACAGGTTGCTTACAACCTTTAGGCCACCTAATGAGCAAGCCTTCAATGCTAAACATGATCACTGTACAATACTCAATATTCTATCATTAACATATGGACAAATCCACATACTTCATGTATTATACATCACAATTCCATAAATTTATAGCGTGCATCTGAGATAAATCATAAATGTATCTGGCTATATCTGTAAAACTCAGTCTTCAAATCCACTTATATAATTTACCTATATTCTTAAGATAATTTTATTGATCTCTAGAGCTAGTAAATTACAGATAATGTTTGACATGCACCACTATTCTAAATTACTTGATAAGCTAATTAGAAAGTAGTTGTTCATATATTAAATTTAAGGAGTCTAATCGATTAAACAAATCTGATCTAATGAATTTTAACTTAAACTTAAGTGTGTGATTAATGCACTGATAATCACAGCAATTATTGGAAGCATCAGCCAACAAGTAGCATATAGGCTGGTCCAGAGTTGGTTACCTTTTCCTCTTGCTTCAATAGCACGTTCGTCTCTATATCTCAAGTTCATAAGTGCATTTCCCGGAGTAGGTTTATCAACCCAAATCGAGAATCTCCAGATGAGAAACTCAAGGAAAGCATCAAGTTCTGGTTCATATTGAAATAACAATCCTGGCTAATCACAAAAGGAAGGACAAGAAAAAAATTTGAATGACAATACATCACAAATCCCAAATGTTATTCTAGTTGGAAAGATAAACAACTAAACAAGTCAAACGATGCATACCTTCATTAAAGAAAAGACCTTAACCAACTGTTCCTTCAACATAGCAGACATTTCAATGTCCAGTCTTGCTGCATCGACCTGGTTAACTCTAGATATCGAAATCGGGATGATCGACTGCAATGGAAATCCACAAAAGGGTATCAATTCCATGATTTTTGGGTTTAAAACTCTTTACTTATTTCATTTTTTCGCTACATTGGGAGCAAAACTTTTGCCACAAGAAAACAATAATATTTCTTCGACAGACCAACCGTTAAACCCCCCTAAATGAAGGTTCTAAGGAGTTCGCGGAAAAAAATTCAAATTTTGCCAAGGATATTGATTGCCCTAGTAAGTACTCTGTGTAAAAGAAACTTGAAACTCACAAATGGTGCAGAAGCGAACCCTAAGGCGTGAAATTGAAGCTAATTTGAGGATGTGGGGGGAAGAAACCATAGTTCATGTAAAGTAAATATGTAAGGCTAGGATGGAGAACAAGAATAATACCTTGTGAGGGAGAGTGAGAGACTGCAACTGAGGTAGTAATCTTTGGTATGTATTAACCCAAGCATCTTCTGTTGGTGGACTCGATGAAGATGACGAAGAAGATGATGGAGCTAGGGTTTGCCTCTCCATTTATTTCTTTATGATTATTGAATTATTTGGCTCTGCTGTGATTGATAAAGGGGGCAACTTGGATGCTCTGCAAGACTACCACCTCTCTCTCTCTCTCTCTCTCTCTCTCTGTCTGTGCAGAGGCAGTACTCTAAAGCTGGGTTGGCGTGGCTTCACTGTGACGTGAAATAGGATATTTTCGTCTTCACACTATGAATGACCGCTTTTCAAAGGGTTATTGGGAGTTGTAATTTGATGTTAAATTAAAGAAATAATATTAGTTTGATGAAATAAAATATTAAATTTATATAATTAAATATTAATTTAATAAAATTATATATTAATTTGTGTTGATTTGATGAGATGAAATGTTAATTTAGTTTAAATTAAATAAAGGATATTAATTTGATAAAATTAAATATTAAATTAATAAATTTAAAGGTTAATATAATAAAATTAAAGGAGAGTATATTAAAATTTCAGAATCAAAAAGGATATTACTAAAGATAGATCTATTCACAGGGAGTCGTTAAAGTTATATTTATTTACAGGGGGTGCGTTGAAGTTATGTCTATTTACAATGAGTGTCAATAAAATTTACACGTATTTTGGTAAATTAACAATAGTCATTAACGTCGTAATCCAACGAACACTAACAAGAAATGACAGTGAAATTTTAAAATTGGGAAGGAGTATCACTAAATTTAGATCTAATTATAGGAAGTGTGGATGAATTTTTCCCTATAAACTATACTGGAGAAAGTATGGAAATCCTATAAAAAAATTTATTATTATTTTTTGATATTAACGTTTAAATTAAATTATGCACACTTCTACTAATTTCTTCTTTATTTGGTCAAAGACAAACTATTCACCTCAAAATAAAAATAAAAAATTGAATAAATCTCTCAAAGAATTTTAATTAAAATATTACATACAAAAAATATGTTATTTTAAATAATTCAATAAAAATTGGGTCAAGAATCAAGTCCATCGTCCAAAATTTTATTCTTAGTTTTCTTTTCCTTTTCTTTTAATGTTTGTTTGAATTACTTTTTTTTTGGAAAATAAATTGGTCTGAATTACTTCTTTTAGCAGGAAGTTAATAACTGAATAATAAGCCATAAAATCAAGTCCATCGCCCATAATTGTTTTTTATTTTTGGGGATTCAATAAAATAACTAAATAATAGATCAAAATTTGAAGAAAAAATAGGCCAATTTATGTGTGACTCAATGTGTTGACCAGGACCAACCCAACAAAAAGACCACCAGCTCTTTTTCTTAAGTTGGCTAGGCCTTTCCGCTAATAGTCTGGCCCATTGTGACCTCTAGTTAAGAGTGTAATTTTGAGTTTTTTCTAAGTCATTTATTTAGTAAACAAGTAGATTTATTATGACATAATTAATTAATAAATGGATTGTATGAGTGAAAATTAATCAAAAAAAAAACATGAAAAAACTTATTTATATGCTAGTTATATACGATTTATACATAATATGAACTCAATATAACACAATTCGCTAGATAAAATAATTGAATTGAGTATGAATATAATATTTTTTACCCGAACCTANTACATGACAAAACTTATTTATATGCTAGTTATATACGATTTATACATAATATAAACTCAATATAACACAATTCGCTAGATAAAATAATTGAATTGAGTATGAATATAATANACATGAAAAAACTTATTTATATGCTAGTTATATACGATTTATACATAATATGAACTCAATATAACACAATTCGCTAGATAAAATAATTGAATTGAGTATGAATATAATATTTTTTACCCGAACCTACTAAGCAAATGAATTTTTATCAAGAAGTGCACATGATATCCAAGTATTGGTATAAAAAAAAGATATATAAATAAAAAAGAATTAGAACAGATAAATTTATATGATTAAACATAATTGGAGAGAAAGCTAAAGACCATTAAATAAACAAAAACACGAGCTCACAAAGCTATTATAACTTCTGCGTTCAATAGTCAGAGATATTCGAACCAACATATGCACATCGATCTGATCAAAGACAAGTCATCTACATCAGGACCCCAATATTCATAAAAAATATTAAAAAGACAAACCTCTCCTCCTTTTATTAATAGAATNTTATGCACATCAATCTGATCAAAAACAAGTCATCTACATCAGGACTCCAATATTCATAAAAAATATTAAAAAGACAAACCTCTCCTCCTTTTATTAATAGAATAAGTTAAGAAGCAAAAATAATTGTCATTAACAATTTTCTTTTACAATACCTGAAATATGATACTCTACAAATCAATATTAGTAATTCATTCACTTTTTAAATATCATTAAACACTCACTTTGTCCAATATACCCCTAGACAACCTCCCAAATTCCCTATCAATCTCATCAGCTACACTCTCCTCCCCCAATCTCCTCAACCCTCTGCTCAGCACATTAGCCACATAATCATCCGCCTCAAAGGTGGAACCCCACCCGCTGCACTTCATCAACCCATAAATCTTGACCGTCGATTCCCCTCTCTCAGCCCCAATCAACGCCTTCACAAGCCTAACCAATCCCTTATCGTCACACTCAATCATACCCTCCCCTTCCAAATCACAAATCAAACGGTCGATATCCTCAGTCAAACCCTTCCTCGCTAGAGCCGAAACCATGTCGGCGTATTGAGACAAGCTGGGTTTGTATTCCGATCGGACGGCTGAGAAGACTCGGAGAGCTAGGTGGATGTGGTCTTGGCGTAAGAGCTCGTTGAAGGAGGCGATGAGGTCGGACTTGATGAGGCGAGAGAGAATTTTGGAAATGAGATCGTCGNGGCTCAAAAGTACATCAAACCATCATACGTGCATTTGCATTTCCTCATATGAATGGGAAAAACTCACTTCTCCAAGTCTGACACATGGAAAATTTCAAAATAACTTAAAAGACTAACTTCAGATCAAAATAATAAACAAAAAAAGGGCTAATATAATTACTAATGGAAAATATGATCATATGAGTGAGGCAAAATGACCTACAGGTTGCTTACAACCTTTAGGCCACCTAATGAGCAAGCCTTCAATGCTAAACATGATCACTGTACAATACTCAATATTCTATCATTAACATATGGACAAATCCACATACTTCATGTATTATACATCACAATTCCATAAATTTATAGCGTGCATCTGAGATAAATCATAAATGTATCTGGCTATATCTGTAAAACTCAGTCTTCAAATCCACTTATATAATTTACCTATATTCTTAAGATAATTTTATTGATCTCTAGAGCTAGTAAATTACAGATAATGTTTGACATGCACCACTATTCTAAATTACTTGATAAGCTAATTAGAAAGTAGTTGTTCATATATTAAATTTAAGGAGTCTAATCGATTAAACAAATCTGATCTAATGAATTTTAACTTAAACTTAAGTGTGTGATTAATGCACTGATAATCACAGCAATTATTGGAAGCATCAGCCAACAAGTAGCATATAGGCTGGTCCAGAGTTGGTTACCTTTTCCTCTTGCTTCAATAGCACGTTCGTCTCTATATCTCAAGTTCATAAGTGCATTTCCCGGAGTAGGTTTATCAACCCAAATCGAGAATCTCCAGATGAGAAACTCAAGGAAAGCATCAAGTTCTGGTTCATATTGAAATAACAATCCTGGCTAATCACAAAAGGAAGGACAAGAAAAAAATTTGAATGACAATACATCACAAATCCCAAATGTTATTCTAGTTGGAAAGATAAACAACTAAACAAGTCAAACGATGCATACCTTCATTAAAGAAAAGACCTTAACCAACTGTTCCTTCAACATAGCAGACATTTCAATGTCCAGTCTTGCTGCATCGACCTGGTTAACTCTAGATATCGAAATCGGGATGATCGACTGCAATGGAAATCCACAAAAGGGTATCAATTCCATGATTTTTGGGTTTAAAACTCTTTACTTATTTCATTTTTTCGCTACATTGGGAGCAAAACTTTTGCCACAAGAAAACAATAATATTTCTTCGACAGACCAACCGTTAAACCCCCCTAAATGAAGGTTCTAAGGAGTTCGCGGAAAAAAATTCAAATTTTGCCAAGGATATTGATTGCCCTAGTAAGTACTCTGTGTAAAAGAAACTTGAAACTCACAAATGGTGCAGAAGCGAACCCTAAGGCGTGAAATTGAAGCTAATTTGAGGATGTGGGGGGAAGAAACCATAGTTCATGTAAAGTAAATATGTAAGGCTAGGATGGAGAACAAGAATAATACCTTGTGAGGGAGAGTGAGAGACTGCAACTGAGGTAGTAATCTTTGGTATGTATTAACCCAAGCATCTTCTGTTGGTGGACTCGATGAAGATGACGAAGAAGATGATGGAGCTAGGGTTTGCCTCTCCATTTATTTCTTTATGATTATTGAATTATTTGGCTCTGCTGTGATTGATAAAGGGGGCAACTTGGATGCTCTGCAAGACTACCACCTCTCTCTCTCTCTCTCTCTCTCTCTGTGCAGAGGCAGTACTCTAAAGCTGGGTTGGCGTGGCTTCACTGTGACGTGAAATAGGATATTTTCGTCTTCACACTATGAATGACCGCTTTTCAAAGGGTTATTGGGAGTTGTAATTTGATGTTAAATTAAAGAAATAATATTAGTTTGATGAAATAAAATATTAAATTTATATAATTAAATATTAATTTAATAAAATTATATATTAATTTGTGTTGATTTGATGAGATGAAATGTTAATTTAGTTTAAATTAAATAAAGGATATTAATTTGATAAAATTAAATATTAAATTAATAAATTTAAAGGTTAATATAATAAAATTAAAGGAGAGTATATTAAAATTTCAGAATCAAAAAGGATATTACTAAAGATAGATCTATTCACAGGGAGTCGTTAAAGTTATATTTATTTACAGGGGGTGCGTTGAAGTTATGTCTATTTACAATGAGTGTCAATAAAATTTACACGTATTTTGGTAAATTAACAATAGTCATTAACGTCNCCAATATTCATAAAAAATATTAAAAAGACAAACCTCTCCTCCTTTTATTAATAGAATAAGTTAAGAAGCAAAAATAATTGTCATTAACAATTTTCTTTTACAATACCTGAAATATGATACTCTACAAATCAATATTAGTAATTCATTCACTTTTTAAATATCATTAAACACTCACTTTGTCCAATATACCCCTAGACAACCTCCCAAATTCCCTATCAATCTCATCAGCTACACTCTCCTCCCCCAATCTCCTCAACCCTCTGCTCAGCACATTAGCCACATAATCATCCGCCTCAAAGGTGGAACCCCACCCGCTCCACTTCATCAACCCATAAATCTTGACCGTCGATTCCACTCTCTCAGCCCCAATCAACGCCTTCACAAGCCTAACCAATCCCTTATCGTCACACTCAATCATACCCTCCCCTTCCAAATCACAAATCAAACGGTCGATATCCTCAGTCAAACCCTTCCTCGCTAGAGCCGAAACCATGTCGGCGTATTGAGACAAGCTGGGTTTGTATTCCGATCGGACGGCTGAGAAGACTCGGAGAGCTAGGTGGATGTGGTCTTGGCGTAAGAGCTCGTTGAAGGAGGCGATGAGGTCGGACTTGATGAGGCGAGAGAGAATTTTGGAAATGAGATCGTCGTTGAGATTGGGATCGTTTACTCGGTGGGAACGTTTGAGAGCTTGAACGGCTTGGATTGCTTCTGTGCTGAGCACTCGGCCTTTGAGGAGTGGCCCACGGTTGTCTCGTGGACCGCACCGCACGGTAACGTAGGTGATTCTGGTGCTGTTGGTTATCGGGTGGGTTGAGAGGAATGTGAGATTTGGGCGGAGAGACGACACCATGGCCATCGCCGTGGAAGGATAGTATAAAGGAACGACGAGGAGAGAACTGAGAAGAGATTAGAAGGGCAAGGCTCTTTGGAGAATGAAAATGCATTGTTTTGTGAAAAGACGATAATGCCCTTACATGGTTAAAGTGGGAAAAAATAAAGAAGGCAAATGCCACTTTATATCCTAAAAGATCTTCACATTATCAATTTATACCCGAAAAAATTGAACTTTTTATAATGAAATCAATGAGATAAAAAAAAAGTGATAATTGGGGCTGGCCGCACGGGGAGTTCTTTTTAAGGAACTTATAATAACTTAAGTTCATCCCTTAAACATATTTGATGTTAAGTCTTATTATTATTTGTTTAATAAGTAGNAATAATAAACAAAAAAAGGGCTAATATAATTACTAATGGAAAATATGATCATATGAGTGAGGCAAAATGACCTACAGGTTGCTTACAACCTTTAGGCCACCTAATGAGCAAGCCTTCAATGCTAAACATGATCACTGTACAATACTCAATATTCTATCATTAACATATGGACAAATCCACATACTTCATGTATTATACATCACAATTCCATAAATTTATAGCGTGCATCTGAGATAAATCATAAATGTATCTGGCTATATCTGTAAAACTCAGTCTTCAAATCCACTTATATAATTTACCTATATTCTTAAGATAATTTTATTGATCTCTAGAGCTAGTAAATTACAGATAATGTTTGACATGCACCACTATTCTAAATTACTTGATAAGCTAATTAGAAAGTAGTTGTTCATATATTAAATTTAAGGAGTCTAATCGATTAAACAAATCTGATCTAATGAATTTTAACTTAAACTTAAGTGTGTGATTAATGCACTGATAATCACAGCAATTATTGGAAGCATCAGCCAACAAGTAGCATATAGGCTGGTCCAGAGTTGGTTACCTTTTCCTCTTGCTTCAATAGCACGTTCGTCTCTATATCTCAAGTTCATAAGTGCATTTCCCGGAGTAGGTTTATCAACCCAAATCGAGAATCTCCAGATGAGAAACTCAAGGAAAGCATCAAGTTCTGGTTCATATTGAAATAACAATCCTGGCTAATCACAAAAGGAAGGACAAGAAAAAAATTTGAATGACAATACATCACAAATCCCAAATGTTATTCTAGTTGGAAAGATAAACAACTAAACAAGTCAAACGATGCATACCTTCATTAAAGAAAAGACCTTAACCAACTGTTCCTTCAACATAGCAGACATTTCAATGTCCAGTCTTGCTGCATCGACCTGGTTAACTCTAGATATCGAAATCGGGATGATCGACTGCAATGGAAATCCACAAAAGGGTATCAATTCCATGATTTTTGGGTTTAAAACTCTTTACTTATTTCATTTTTTCGCTACATTGGGAGCAAAACTTTTGCCACAAGAAAACAATAATATTTCTTCGACAGACCAACCGTTAAACCCCCCTAAATGAAGGTTCTAAGGAGTTCGCGGAAAAAAATTCAAATTTTGCCAAGGATATTGATTGCCCTAGTAAGTACTCTGTGTAAAAGAAACTTGAAACTCACAAATGGTGCAGAAGCGAACCCTAAGGCGTGAAATTGAAGCTAATTTGAGGATGTGGGGGGAAGAAACCATAGTTCATGTAAAGTAAATATGTAAGGCTAGGATGGAGAACAAGAATAATACCTTGTGAGGGAGAGTGAGAGACTGCAACTGAGGTAGTAATCTTTGGTATGTATTAACCCAAGCATCTTCTGTTGGTGGACTCGATGAAGATGACGAAGAAGATGATGGAGCTAGGGTTTGCCTCTCCATTTATTTCTTTATGATTATTGAATTATTTGGCTCTGCTGTGATTGATAAAGGGGGCAACTTGGATGCTCTGCAAGACTACCACCTCTCTCTCTCTCTCTCTCTCTCTCTGTGCAGAGGCAGTACTCTAAAGCTGGGTTGGCGTGGCTTCACTGTGACGTGAAATAGGATATTTTCGTCTTCACACTATGAATGACCGCTTTTCAAAGGGTTATTGGGAGTTGTAATTTGATGTTAAATTAAAGAAATAATATTAGTTTGATGAAATAAAATATTAAATTTATATAATTAAATATTAATTTAATAAAATTATATATTAATTTGTGTTGATTTGATGAGATGAAATGTTAATTTAGTTTAAATTAAATAAAGGATATTAATTTGATAAAATTAAATATTAAATTAATAAATTTAAAGGTTAATATAATAAAATTAAAGGAGAGTATATTAAAATTTCAGAATCAAAAAGGATATTACTAAAGATAGATCTATTCACAGGGAGTCGTTAAAGTTATATTTATTTACAGGGGGTGCGTTGAAGTTATGTCTATTTACAATGAGTGTCAATAAAATTTACACGTATTTTGGTAAATTAACAATAGTCATTAACGTCGTAATCCAACGAANCCAATATTCATAAAAAATATTAAAAAGACAAACCTCTCCTCCTTTTATTAATAGAATAAGTTAAGAAGCAAAAATAATTGTCATTAACAATTTTCTTTTACAATACCTGAAATATGATACTCTACAAATCAATATTAGTAATTCATTCACTTTTTAAATATCATTAAACACTCACTTTGTCCAATATACCCCTAGACAACCTCCCAAATTCCCTATCAATCTCATCAGCTACACTCTCCTCCCCCAATCTCCTCAACCCTCTGCTCAGCACATTAGCCACATAATCATCCGCCTCAAAGGTGGAACCCCACCCGCTGCACTTCATCAACCCATAAATCTTGACCGTCGATTCCACTCTCTCAGCCCCAATCAACGCCTTCACAAGCCTAACCAATCCCTTATCGTCACACTCAATCATACCCTCCCCTTCCAAATCACAAATCAAACGGTCGATATCCTCAGTCAAACCCTTCCTCGCTAGAGCCGAAACCATGTCGGCGTATTGAGACAAGCTGGGTTTGTATTCCGATCGGACGGCTGAGAAGACTCGGAGAGCTAGGTGGATGTGGTCTTGGCGTAAGAGCTCGTTGAAGGAGGCGATGAGGTCGGACTTGATGAGGCGAGAGAGAATTTTGGAAATGAGATCGTCGTTGAGATTGGGATCGTTTACTCGGTGGGAACGTTTGAGAGCTTGAACGGCTTGGATTGCTTCTGTGCTGAGCACTCGGCCTTTGAGGAGTGGCCCACGGTTGTCTCGTGGACCGCACCGCACGGTAACGTAGGTGATTCTGGTGCTGTTGGTTATCGGGTGGGTTGAGAGGAATGTGAGATTTGGGCGGAGAGACGACACCATGGCCATCGCCGTGGAAGGATAGTATAAAGGAACGACGAGGAGAGAACTGAGAAGAGATTAGAAGGGCAAGGCTCTTTGGAGAATGAAAATGCATTGTTTTGTGAAAAGACGATAATGCCCTTACATGGTTAAAGTGGGAAAAAATAAAGAAGGCAAATGCCACTTTATATCCTAAAAGATCTTCACATTATCAATTTATACCCGAAAAAATTGAACTTTTTATAATGAAATCAATGAGATAAAAAAAAA